TTGATCCTTTATCAAACTCTTTAAACTTCTAATTCTTTAGATAATGGCCTGAAGATCAGTCACTGGTGAGAATTTGTATTTGAATTTGTATTGGGGCATAGACGGTTGAGGGTCAATACTACGAGCATGCATGATCCCGTCACTTACATACGGGATTCTTCCCCTGGTGTATAAATTAACTTATGTGTGCCCCTAAGCAGGGGCTAGCATGTCTCGATATTTTGGTGAGCGATGGCAGAGGGATTGATCGGTCTTTCAACATAAAATTGTCGTACTAAGCAGACAAGTTCTTCGTAATGTCCTTCTTCTTTATCATTATTCTCGGACGTTTTCGCTGATACGTTATTTTGAGGATCATTGTTTTGAAGTCTTGTTTCCTCGTGTCCGTCACTTGTGTGTTGTGCAGGTTCTTTATCTTCGTTTAGGCTGTTTCTGAGGAAAAAAAGGAAAGAGTTTAACTTTTAATCGACATCAAATTCATCCGTGAAGACCGCACTTACGGCAAAGTATTTTGTTTTTAATTTTTTCTCCCGAGCTATCAAGATATCTGTATCGATGACCATGACGATGCAAGAGTGGCTGTAAATCAGCTACCCCGCCGAACACTGTCGAAAAGTTGGGGTGTACCGAGAACGTACCCCTGGTTTTGAACGTTTATAGCTTTAAAACCTTTAGAGTTTTCATGGAAACCTGTATTTGACAGGAAAATGTTAAAAACTTTGATGTATTGAATTCAGTAAATCAATGGTACGCATGCGTGGCAACAGTTTATGTCTACCGGCTGTGATCTTCAGGAAAACTACATTATACTTACATTCCTCTGCTGCTAAGAGATGCTTTGTTGAAATCCGCCTGATCTATGTACTTTTCCTCATTATCTGAAAAATGAAGTTTATAGAGTAATGTTTTACCTTATTTTGCCAAGTCGAAAGTTCGCGACTTGTTCGTCGAAGTTCGCCCCCTTTTTCGACACAGTATTGTACGAACAATTTAGAGCCGGAAATTATGTCATCCTCACAGTATTTTTATGTGAAATATTTTTATATTTTTACACAAAAATACTAATTTTAGAGAATTACAAACGCAAAAATCCGTAATGTGTTACGCTGTAGGTAGCGAATACGTCATGGATAAAATACATTACCATAGTTACAGTTAACCAAAATGTAGAATAATTTCAGTAACGGCTCTAAAAATAATAATAATAAAATAATAAACTGGAAATACATATGGCAAGAAAAACAACACGAGGCGGTGTGGTTAAATAATTTTTCAAAAAAATAACTTAGCAAATGTAACACGATTGTTACAGTATTGACTTTGCGGTGAGCATTGTTGAATTCTTGATTGTTACCAAGATAAAATTTGCTTATTAAAAAGCTCAAATAAGCAACAAGCTTACTAATGGTCTTGTAAAATAATACTCATCTGGGCGTCTATATTCAGCGGCTCTTCAAGATCAAGCATAGAAATTTGTGGCATTCTCCAAGTTTAAATCTTTTAAACATTATTGTTGTTATTATGGTATTGATGACCAGAAGCAGGATCGAATTGTTAGGTTTCTTCAGCTTTGATAACTCGTTTTTATTTTTGGTAACGCACGGATATTGTAATGAACTGTTTGCAGTTTTTCTTTGTTTCATTGAACCTTGCATATGGAATAAAAAAAGTGATAATACAACTGATCTAATGTCAAGAGACCACGTTCTAAAACACGCATGCTAATGACCTGCGTTATTTGAAAAGCTGCTATTTTAGCGCGAATACCAAATAAAGATCAAACAATATTGACAGAGCAACTTCCATTTGTAACCGGGTTAAAACAAACCTTATGGAATATATTAAAAAAAAAAAAAAAAAAAAAACTCTTTGGTGATAATGGTGTCTTAAAATGCCATCTTCCGATGCTTTGAAATAACCAAACATTGATATTACTTTTACAGCGGTAACATCACACAACATTTTGTATCTTATTTATGAACGAATAAAGACTGCAGTGAAGTGGAGTTTAGTCTGCCGTTGAGCCGTAAACTCAAATAACAGCAGGTGAATTTCATCACCAGTTGGGTAAACGTATCACGCTCCATAGAATTGGCAGGGTGATTTTCTTTGACACAGTAGCATTAAACGGAAATATAAAAGATAAAGTGTAGTTACCTTTTGTCGCGCGGCTTTTAGTAACACCCTTTGTGGACGGAGTTCGTTTGTTCGAACGGATTCCTTGAAATTCATTTTCGAGGATATCCAATCTATCGTTCGAATAGGTATCTTCGATATCTACTAAGTTATTGCTCGCTGCCTCCGAACAATTTCCCTTGTCATGTATATCAGCTCTGCGTTCTTCGGCCATTATATTACAGTGTTGAATTCACAATGATACTGGATTTGTAGAAGTCAGGAGTCGTATGTGTAATCTTCACGATATGATGGCCATCATTTGGCTCCAAAAATGAAAGATCCACTGTGTTAGAAGACTCATCGATCCGTTTCATATTGATTCACAACATAAATTTCCATTGGTCTGAAATAAATTGCCGATGATGTGAATAATTAAATTGAGACAGGTGTACAAGGGAGTTTAGACAATGGAATTGCTGTCTTTATACTTGAAAATATATATTCTCTCCATGGGGTTAACAAGAAATTATAATTTTTTAAACTAATTGCATATTTCTAATGCTGGAATCATTAAAAATTGTATCTTTTAGCTTTAAAATGAACACAAAATTATGTTAAACTTTCTTTCTTTCTATGACTTATATGTCATAGGTACTATAAAAAAATGACTGAATGTTGACATTTTAAAGGAGAAACGTTTGATCCATTTGAACAACATTTGCCTTTTATGTCACACTTGAAGCTCAAGATTAAAACCCTAACTACAATATTTCTTTTCTATTGGTTTTGTCCGTCACGATGTTGGTACTGCTTTTGTGACAAATTGTCATGGGGCCACTTGTCTAAATTCAAGCAACGTTTTTAGGAAATATGTAAATTTTGTTAATAGTATTCGAAAACTTTTTTGACCGTTTACCCAACGCTATGGTTTCAAAGGTCAGTAGACGAATCTGTTACATATTTGCATTGAAGCTGTCGATGAAGGTGATATTTTCCTATTTTTCTAATTCTGAAATTGCTATTGTACGTTTAAACCTTTTGTTGTTAGCAGTAATACGCCATCTTGTTTCAAGGGGCGAGTGAAGTGGACTAATGGGATAGGAATAACAGAAATTTTGTCTTTTCACTAATGAAACAAGGCTTTTTTGAGGGGTGGGGGGAGGGGGGAAGAGAGTAGCAATGTCCTTTACCTGGAATAAGCGCATCTTTTTCAAACGGAATAAAGGAATGATTAATTGCACAAATGACAATTTTCGTGCGGGAAATATAAAACCATAAAAAAATAATACCAACAACAGACTTGATAGAACTCACTTTGAATCTGAAGGTGGCTACCGCACTGGTTGTCGAAACGTCAGTCACTGTCAACAAAAGTACTATTCAGGACTACGTTCACGCGGACGATCTGAGCTCAACCTACTTATTAAATGACCCCTAAGTTCAAACCTTTCACAGCAATTGATTTATGAGCACATGAACCCCGGAATCTTGTTGCGTGGCTTCCCTGCCTTTTTATGCGGCAACTAAATCAACTTCCGGCAGTGTTGTATGGTGCAGCCCTGCGGGAGATGAGATAAGCAATCCAGGCTTGAATTGCACCATCGTATCCTTACATTCCTTACATTACTTATTTATTGTTGTATCTCGGTACGTGTGCGCGTAAAATTTTATTTTGAGCGCGCGCATCATTTGTTTATTTGTTTAATTGACGTGTACATTTAGTTCGTTTATTAACGTCAATTAAAATGAAACGCAATAAAAGGAGTGAATATGTAACAGGCACTGACACGAGTGTACCACCCACCGAGGAGGATTTTACAAGACGTTAACGTATAGGATTTAATGGAGCCGAAACCAATTGTGGAATTACACGCATTTTAGGCATCCTACTGATGAACAGTTGCGACACGTAGATATATATTTTTTAGCAACTAAAATAATTTGCAGTCTGTCTACTTTGAATTGTGCTTAGTACCTTAGTCTTCGCGTGACTGCAAGGCTTGCCGTTGACCTAGTTGAAACAGGCGGACTTGGCAAGGAAAAAGCAAAGTCACATGACAACACGGAACCGCGCGGAAAAGACTGAACGAGACCTCATGTGCTCAATTTGCCGCTCTGCCATTCTATTTCTTTTCCTGACCTTTTCCTGTACGGGCGGGAAGACGGGCGTCGGAAGGACGTACCCTGAGGTCATGACCAAATTTTCTCGCATCGATAGGTTAACATTCTCTATAGCAATGACTCAGGAAGCCTTGCAAGTGCTGATAAAACGTCGCATTACAGAAAAACAGTTCTTAAAACAATAAAATTACAGTAAACAAGACCCTGCACTTAATAGTGAACTCTTCCTTTAACTTCTTTATTGTTTAATATTTGACAGTTTTAAGAATGCCGCGGCGAAGAGATTTACAAATTCACCAGCTGGTATATGTAACAATGAATTACGTAAAACAAAATCTTTAGAAGCTTGTAATCGAAGTGACCATTTTCGATATGAAATCGTAAAATTTACCCAGTTCAGCAAAAAAAACAGATTTGTAAACTGAAAAAGAAAGCATTTCTCCTGTTTTACGCCACGTAATAACTTTTTGAACAGTTTAGTACTGCCCTAATTCTTACATACTTTTAAAAAAACGTTTTTCTTTTTAAAAAAGGTGTTAAATAACGTGATCAAATTAAATAGCTTTTTGCTCAATACGGCTACTACAGACTTTAACTAGAAATGTTTAGTTGAAGGTTGAAATCATTCTTACCAAGAGAAATGTGTTTTGAATTGTAAAACTGGCCTGCAATACAAAATTTTCATAACACAATACGAGTCAGGCAGTTTACAAAGTATATAACCGCATTGTCTCAGAGCAATAACGGTCTGTGTTGATGGATCAGTCGTGTTTCTTATTCTTGTGTTCTGTAGAGTGGTATTTCTTATGCTTGAAATGTTTTCTGTGTTGCTTCCGTTCTCTTTCACTTTTGTCGTATGTAGGTGCAGGTGCTATCCCTCCTGGAGGTGCCGGGGCTGCTGGATATGTAGGCGGTGGAGGTACCGGGGCTGCCGGATATGTAGGTGGTGGAGGTGCCGGGGATGCCGGATATGTAGGTGGTGGAGGTGGTGGGGCTGCGGGGTAAGGAGGTGGAGGAGGTGGTGGGGCTGCGGGGTATGGAGGCGGAGAAACTGGATACGGTGGTGGTGGAGGAGGTGGTGGAGCTGGTGGAGGTGTTGGAGGAGTCGGATATGGAGCAGGTCCAGGTGCCGGGGGTGTTGGGTATGGAGCCGGTACAGGTGTGGGTGGTGTTGGATATGGAGCCGGTACAGGTGTGGGTGGTGTTGGATATGGAGCCGGTGTAGGTTCTGGTGGTGTTGGGTAGGGGCTGGGGGTAGGGTAGGGGTACTGTGAGGGGTAATGTGATGGGTAAGGGTAGGGGTAGGGGTAGGGAGCTGGATACGGGTATGGAGCGGGATAAGGGTTTGGATATGGGTTAGGAACTGGTATAGGGTATTGTCCCTGCTGGTACTGATATGGGTGAAGGGCCGTGATAGGATAGGGGTACGATTGAGGAGCTGGTTGCACGCCTTTGTACTTCTCGCAGCTGTGGGGACATGCTCGTCTTATGTCTTCGTCTGTTTGGCAGTAACCTTCCCTTCCCCAGATTGGGCACACCGTGTGCTTATCCACGTACTTTGATTCTAAAACGAGAAATAAATACAGATAGAGTAGAATTAATCTTTGCATTCAAAGTAGTTTAAATGATGGTATTAACTGCACCGCTTTCATAACAGACATCAGTGTTTCTCGAGGGCCGTCTTAATGCACTGGTCTCAGAATGGCTATTCATCTCATGTTGGCATTATAATCAGCCATTCCACCTTTAACGAAGTCAACTCTCTCTACAATGAACACCTTTGGGACCGACACTATGCATCCAACTTAACGAAATGTCCGACTTATAGAGTCAACTAAACAAAGAAAAGAAAGGCAGGGACCAACTCTTGGTGACCATTTTAGCAAGGTGTCCGTCCTAGTTGCTACAGAGGTGTTCAATAAGAGATTTGACTGTATTCAGGGTAATTCCATAGTGCCCCAAGCCTCTCAGTTAGAGTAGAACCTTTCTTTTCCCTTTAATGAAGAAAAGCGCCTGCAATATCTACATATATATAGTTGTCTCTTCTTATACCACCTAATAAGTCCTTGGTACAATCCACACTAAAACAATGAACTGTCACATAATAAATCTCCATGTGCCTAGAATATTGTCCTCTTAAACAAAAGAGAGTTGGCAACATCTGGTCAGTGAATTCTGTCAAATTTGAAATCGCTCTGTCTCTCACCAGAAATAAAGTGCTTAAAAATGACATTGTGTTTAGGTACTGCCTGTTTTCTAAGCTTTCAGCTTCGTTGGATCGTAGCACAATACCCCTTCCAACACTTTGCAAATTCAGCACATTGTCAAGTTAAAGAAAAGCATTTCCCTTTTCAGAGAGATCTATTGCAGCTCTTTCTGTTTTGCAGGATTGATTAAAGACTCAATTAAAGCCACCAACCCTTTCCACAGAACTGGCAAGACTTTTTGCAGGTTTGCATCATGTAGTCTGGAAGTCTTTGGCAGTCTCCTCTCTGTGCATAGCTTGGGCAGTGATTGTTACGGTCTTCACAGCGACTGGTAAACTCTTTAAAAACATACATACGACAAATTGAGCAATTCGTACCATTTATTTTTTATGCATCAATTCCATTGTTGTGGTTGTGGTTGTTGTTGTTGTTGTTGTTTAAGAAAGTTCATTGGAATAACCAATGTGGTTCTAGTTTCTGTCATTACTTTTTCATTCATCCAGTTCTTTAAAATAGGTTCTTCCACAGGTAGAGAAATCAGGAGCCACGAAGTTCTATTTTCATTGGCCATTTAAAACAAACTATTGCAATCAGGCGGGCTGTTCACACTTGGTGCTCCAGCTCTAGTGCCAGGGTACCAACACAAAACTGTGTTGTGATCACACCTCAGTTATCTGACTTATTTATTCAATCACTTCCACCATATAGTGCGGAACACATAACAGGGCGGGACTCCATTTTAAGTGTGTCCTTACAGATAACCCACCCAACCCAGGAAAGGTTGACTACACCACTGGGGTCTACGTCCCCTACTCTTTTCGAACAGTGGTGTAGGTTCTTTTACGTCCCACAAGAACAANCTTTTTCATTCATCCAGTTCTTTAAAATAGGTTCTTCCACAGGTAGAGAAATCAGGAGCCACGAAGTTCTATTTTCATTGGCCATTTAAAACAAACTATTGCAATCAGGCGGGCTGTTCACACTTGGTGCTCCAGCTCTAGTGCCAGGGTACCAACACAAAACTGTGTTGTGATCACACCTCAGTTATCTGACTTATTTATTCAATCACTTCCACCATATAGTGCGGAACACATAACAGGGCGGGACTCCATTTTAAGTGTGTCCTTACAGATAACCCACCCAACCCAGGAAAGGTTGACTACACCACTGGGGTCTACGTCCCCTACTCTTTTCGAACAGTGGTGTAGGTTCTTTTACGTCCCACAAGAACAAATCAGTGAAAGTGCTGTGAGACGGGACCTACGGTTTTTCGTCCTTATCCGTGAAGACTAGAAAGTCTAACCATTTGCAGATCTCATTACAAAGGCAGCACTTTCTCCTCAGTTAGTTTAGGACCCTTCGTGTTGGTCCGGCCGGGATTTAAGCCCACGACCTCCCGCTCAGCAGACTGGCGCTCTCCCAACTGGGCTAACCAGGCGGGGGTAATCATTTTGATCTATTATGCCCTGCCAGACGCCATTTTGATACGTGAGCGTAGCAGGGAGTGGAAAGTAATTGATTGCCTCGGAAGTTATAGAAAACGTGTGTTAAAAAAAGAGATCTGGATTGCCACCTTAAGTGCCGGAGATCATGATCTTGAGCCAGCATCGGCCGTGCCCAAGTTTAATTATGCTGGCGTGAATATGTTTGGCGAAAGTCTGCATTCACATTATTTACCCGCGAGAGACTTATAGAGCCCTGTAGCCGGGAGCCGGTCCAATTAAGTGTGAGCGCTCTCTTATCATCAAGATTTGGAGTTCACCTACCGCCCTCCTTGGCACAAAAGTGGCATGACCATGGACAGTCTTCAACCATATCATTAAATTCTTGAAGACATTTTTCTTGTGACAGTCCTTCGCAGTCAGCTTCTGGATCATCCTCGCATTTTTTTAAGTTATACACTGAAAAAAATTAAAGCAATTTAATTAACCGAGCCTGAGCTAGGCGGTCACCCTTCTTTGAAGCGGTCTTTTGCCGTTGTCATCGTAATTGTCTGTCACGATTATACCAACTAACTCACTTTTTCAAATGCAGGCGAACTCGATCTCTTGTAATTGAATTCGTTAGAAAAATACCAAAGTTGATAGAGAGATTTTTAGAAACTCTTCGACATTTGTTTACGTTCCCAATAAAACGTAAAATTGAGCAATTTTACGCGGTCTAATAAGGGTGGCAATAAAGAAATGTACCAAAAGGTGTGTTGTACTTGTTGAAATGTATCTTTGCTAATATGTTGCTGTTGCCGTCGTGACATCGTAAATTCTCTGTATCTTAAATGGAACTACTGCACGTTCCGTTGCTATTCTTACGTTTTTTGTATGGTATCGATGTTTGAAGTTCAGATATTCTACGAATTTCCTCGTCTCTATCGCTTAAGAAATCTCCACTTCCTGATGAACCTGACTCCATGCCAGAAGCTGATACCTCTTCATCCGCTCCAATACCTGGAAAAAATCGATGAATTTACTTGAATGAAAAAGGGCCGGTAAAACTAGAGAAATAAATGTCAACACAAAGCTTTAAGCGGTCAGACTTCAAGGCGAAGTCTTTCCTTTTAAAAGTTTTTCAAAGAGCTTTTTAAGGAAACAAAGTTCCATCTTAGTGCTTCGATTCACTCGAGACACCTGTTCGGTAGCAACCACATCTTTTAGAGTGGAAATGCTCCATAAGCGTTATCCCACAGACAAATCTTAAGAAACAGAAACAGCGGGGCAAAAACTGATAACCAAAGGGAAAAAACACAAGGACTACTAAGAAAATAGAGTTATGATACTTACTTGATTCAAAACAGTAAAAAACAAGTAGAAGGAAAGTAAATCGGACAGCCTTCATTTTCATCCACTGCAATAGGAGCTAAAAAATGAATGCCAGTGTTAAGATGAGGGAAACGAATCCACCCTGGGACTCAGGGTTGACTCCTGCTACACAAAGAGAAGACAACTTATTTCTTCATCGCTTTCTTCCCTTGAAAACCTTGGTATTCTTCTAGTACAGCGCTCCCGCTAGGGTAAAATATTTGAATAATATACATAGCGTTTAAACCTTCCCAGAAAATTCCCAGTAAAGAGGAAAAAAACAGATAGGAAAAGAAACATGATTTGCTTAATAGACTGTAAAACAAAAATTATAACTTCAATTTCCTTTTGACAATAAACAAACCAAAGTAAATAAGTGAACAGGATTTCTCTTTACCTCTTTTAACTTTCCCTGGGGACAGCAATTTTAAATTTCTATAAAAAAAATTATGACGTAAAAAGCTTACCAAAACGTCGCTCAAGACAGGATAGCACAATCGATAATTGTTTTAAGCAATCTGCTATTATTACTCCTGTTATTACCGATAAATGTTTATAAGATTACTGGTAAAAGACAAATGCATTACTCGTAATGAAGAAAAGCTTTAAAATTTTATCTCAGTGAAGCATAAAAGCATTGCGGGTGGTTACATCGTTTGTTATTATCTTTGGTTTAATCTACTTGTATCTATCATGAAAGGTGGTGCTTCAGTGGTCAGCAATAGGACCACCTCTCAAAAAGGTGAAAGCGATTCTTAAGAATTAAACGCAGTAAACGGCAAGGTTAAAATGTTAACTTACGCTTGTCAGTTTTCTTTACCATTAAGTAAGGGTGGATTTCCATGGTGGTGTAACTTTGACTTGCGTAAGCACGAATAGTAGACCCTTCCACGGTTTTTTCCAACTTTTGACATGGCCAAATTAGGAATAATCCGTCGACGACACCGGAAAGAGCGATTTAAATTATTAAAACTGCCAAGTTTTAAAGTGATTTGTTAAAAAGATATAGCTCCTCAAACTTCTCCCCCACTTCACAAACGTTTGCAAATTTCCGCAACTTTGCGTAGCCATATAATCCCTCGCTTAAGAAAGACGTATCACTTTCAAATATGTCAATTTTACTAATTTCAAGGCGCCCTTTCCGGTGGTGTCGACAGATTTTCCCTAACTAGTTCACGTCAAAAGGTGAAGGGCACCCGACCGTCCATGTCCATTGGAAAAAAAAATTGCGTGCAGGCACACGTAAAGATAAGGTGACAGAGGATATCCACCCTGGGCCTAATCAATAATGCAACTCTTTGCGATTTTAAGAGAATAGCCTCTTGGTACTGGCTCGTACTAACGGCAATTTTGGAATAAAATTTATGAAAAAATCTTCCTTCAAAACGTGAAAGCGAAAATAATACTGGGACCTTTGATTGTTATTTCTTAGAAGCCCCAATCTAGCAAAAACTGTAAAATTAGTGGGCAAGGGTTGTTCAGAGCTGTGTTAAGATAACCCAGGGATAGGGCAAAATTCTAATTCAGATATAGAAGGTTAAAAAGCAAACCCAATCTAATTCTTTTCGTCTACAATTTGATGACTGAACGCGCTACAAAGAATATAAAAAATTATCCGAGGAAATGCTTTTGAACAAACGAAAAAGAAACCCAGATTAAAAGTTTAACCCCGGGTTAGCGTTAATCAGCCTTCCAACAACTGGGTCCTAGGCTATAAAATTCCTAAGCCATTGTTGAGGTGATTCGCTGGTTTTGCACATCACGATTCCTGGTGCGCATAACAAGGTGGCCGCTTCCATGAAAACATTATTAAAATAAAGTGTATCGAAGAGGAACGTGGATGGAATTTTCGACAGCTTTTATTTTTCTTCCTGAGATGAGTCTCAATTTGCCGGGAATGTGCATGACGCAAGCAGGATACGTGTTTCTGAGTTCGACATTTGAACCGAGGCCTTCGATAGTGGTTGTTAGATTTGTAATGGATCACTGAAAATGGTATGTAAATTCCATAAAACTCTATTTTCCAATGTCTTTTTTCCACCTCCACATGTACGTCATTTTCAAACTCGTCCCCGTCCCCGTTCAAAATTCGGGAGGAATCCGGTTGGTGCTTACTCGCTGCAGCCCTGTCACAAAAACGAGTACGATGACCCTAATTATTTTGTTACCATTATTCCTTGATGTCTCTATTACAGACCGTTGTATTAAGGATTACAAAGCTATTTCAGTAGTAGGGCTTCAGCAAAGATAAGCCTTGCGATGGATTAGGTGGATTAGGTGCCTATGGATTAGGTGGATTAGGTGCCTAGTCAATGACGTCACCCATTGTTATAACCTACATACTAATTTGGATTAGGTTTACTAATGAGCGTCACTCTACTACAATAGGAACAATAGGCTTGCCTAGACTTGCTCGGGCTCTTTTAACCCTGTTTGGATAGTAAACAATCTATTATGTGTTCAACATAAAAGCGCGCTTTCCCTTCAGTATTTCATTCTCGCAATCGCGTTACTAAGGAAAAAGTCTTACTATCACCAATATTTTTTAAAACATTGCTCCAAACATGCAAGTCGAATCGAGCTGTAAACTTGTCTGACTATTACAGAACTGTTTTCTCCCATCTATCTCGAGGACATGAAAAACTATTGAAGTCTCAACGTTTCACGCACGGTTAATCAGTTAACTATGCGAGTTCGCAAGCCCAAAGTTGAATACAAATTAGCTCTACAGGAAAGACCCAAGGGAGAGAATCTTGACGTATTATTATAAAACAAATAACTTAACAAGGATTAATTAAAACACGCGTCTCATAATTGCTAGCAATAAAATCTGACACGAGATACCGTTTAAAACAAAAAGAGTCAAATACACAGCGATTTGAAAGAAATCTATTAAAACAGTCAAAGAAAGCAAGTCATGTTTTACTTACCCCTCTCCCTTTTCAATTTTATTTCCCTCCTTAATTTTTTCTTTTTCCCTTCTCCACAATTTTATCATTTTCCCTCCTCAATGTTTTTATTCCCTCCTCCACAATTTTTATTATTTTCCCTCCTCAATGTTTTTTATTCACCTCCTTCACCTCCACCTCCTCATTTATTCTATATTTTTCCATCTTCAAATACATCGACCTCCTAGCGACCCTACATCGATCCCACATCGACCCTACATCGACCCCACATCGACCCCACATCGACCCTACATCGACCCCACATCGACCCCACATCGACCCTGCATCGACCCTACATCGACCCTACATCGACCCCACATCGACCCCACATCGACCCTACACTCAACTTTTTTTTAACACTGCTTCGTAAATAGTGAAGCTATATACCACCACCGCCACATTTCTTTTTTTTTCCACCACCACCACCACCGCCACCACATTTCAATTGTTTTCCCACCACCACCACCACATTTCTATTGTTTTCCCTCCACCACCACCACCACCGCCACCACATTTCTATTGTTTTTCTTTCCACCACCACCACCACCGCCACCGCCACCACATTTCTATTGTTTTCCCTCCTCCACCACCACATTTGAATTGTTTTCCCTCCACCACCACCACCACCACCACCGCCACCACATTTCTATTGTTTTCCCTCCACCGCCACCACATTATTATTGTTTTCCCTCCTCCTCCTCTTCCTCCTCCTCCAACTCCTCCACATTTCTATTGTTTTCCCTCCAAGTTTGGCCTTTAGGCCTTTTAGGCCTGATTTTGGCCTCTTTGGCCTTTCGAGGGAAAACAATAGAAATGTGGAGGAGTTAGAGGAGGAGGAAGAGGAGGAGGAGGGAAAACAATAATAATGTGGTGGCCGTGGAGGGAAAACAATAGAAATGTGGTGGCGGTGGTGGTGGTGGTGGTGGTGGAGGGAAAACAATTCAAATGTGGTGGTGGAGGAGGGAAAACAATAGAAATGTGGTGGCGGTGGCGGTGGTGGTGGTGGTGGAAAGAAAAACAATAGAAATGTGGTGGCGGTGGTGGTGGTGGTGGAGGGAAAACAATAGAAATGTGGTGGTGGTGGTGGGAAAACAATTGAAATGTGGTGGCGGTGGTGGTGGTGGTGGAAAAAAAAAGAAATGTGGCGGTGGTGGTATATAGCTTAACTATTTACGAAGCAGTGTTAAAAAAAAGTTGAGTGTAGGGTCGATGTGGGGTCGATGTGGGGTCGATGTAGGGTCGATGTAGGGTCGATGCAGGGTCGATGTGGGGTCGATGTGGGGTCGATGTAGGGTCGATGTGGGGTCGATGTGGGGTCGATGTAGGGTCGATGTGGGATCGATGTAGGGTCGCTAGGAGGTCGATGTATTTGAAGATGGAAAAATATAGAATAAAGGAGGAGGTGGAGGTGAAGGAGGGGAATAAAAAACATTGAGGAGGGAAAATAATAAAAATTGTGGAGGAGGGAATAAAAACATTGAGGAGGGAAAATGATAAAATTGTGGAGAAGGGAAAAAGAAAAAATTAAGGAGGGAAATAAAATTGAAAAGGGAGAGGGGTAAGTAAAACATGACTTGCTTTCTTTGACTGTTTTAATAGATTTCTTTCAAATCGCTGTGTATTTGACTCTTTTTGTTTTAAACGGTATCTCGTGTCAGATTTTATTGCTAGCAATTATGAGACGCGTGTTTTAATTAATCCTTGTTAAGTTATTTGTTTTATAATAATACGTCAAGATTCTCTCCCTTGGGTCTTTCCTGTAGAGCTAATTTGTATTCAACTTTGGGCTTGCGAACTCGCATAGTTAACTGATTAACCGTGCGTGAAACGTTGAGACTTCAATAGTTTTTCATGTCCTCGAGATAGATGGGAGAAAACAGTTCTGTAATAGTCAGACAAGTTTACAGCTCGATTCGACTTGCATGTTTGGAGCAATGTTTTAAAAAATATTGGTGATAGTAAGACTTTTTCCTTAGTAACGCGATTGCGAGAATGAAATACTGAAGGGAAAGCGCGCTTTTATGTTGAACACATAATAGATTGTTTACTATCCAAACAGGGTTAAAAGAGCCCGAGCAAGTCTAGGCAAGCCTATTGTTCCTATTGTAGTAGAGTGACGCTCATTAGTAAACCTAATCCAAATTAGTATGTAGGTTATAACAATGGGTGACGTCATTGACTAGGCACCTAATCCACCTAATCCATCGCAAGGCTTATCTTTGCTGAAGCCCTACTACTTATTTCTGTCTAGTTTAAGTTGTCTACCATTTTTACAAGTTTTTGTGGATTGATTGATTGATTGATTGATTGATTGCCTGAATTATTGGGTGGTGGAAAGATGATTTGTTCGAATGAATGACTAATTGATAGGTAGAAGGATGAATGGATTGATTGATTAATTGATTGGTTGGTTGGTTGGTGGAAGGATGGATTAATTATTATTATTATTATTGATTGGCTGATTGGTTGGTTGGTAAATGGATTGATTGATTGATCGGTTGATTGGTTGGTAGAAGGATGGATGGATCAATTGACTGATTGGTAAATTTGTTGGTGCAAGGATGAATGAATGATTGATTGATTGATTGATTGATTGATTGATTGATTGGTGGATAAAC